GGGAAGTCCTACTCACTGCTTTCTGGCGGCGGGAGTGTTGTTTAGGAAATTGAGAGGACGAAAAGCGAATATCTGGCGCTTTAACCTCTTTATTGAATATGGAGGATCCACTCAAGGGAGTTGGAAAACCCCGATTCCAAACTAATGGTATACATGGGCTCCGAGATCCTGAAGGAATAAGTGGCGTATGAACCTATTGTTGATCAGCAGCTACCATGGGACTGCATCTCCTGACTTTGCCCCACTACCTTGCGGATCAGGCTCTGGGTATGGCCCCCTAAGAAAACAACCTGCTTCGGTTTGGACACCCGGGCAATATCCCAGCCCTCACATAAATCGAATGATTTATGTGGCATATATCCATTTGCTGCCTCCTTGTACCAATGTTTATGTATTTAAACAAATAAATAAAATAAATTTAGTTAAACAGCCACTAGAAAACAGAAAGCATTAGATAGCCATTTCGTATTAGTATGGGGTTCTTCAACTTGGTTTTACGCAGTCACAAACCCACTAATGATAGGATCCAGGTAATTCTGGGAATTCTAGTGAATAGCTGAAATCAGTGGAGTTATGCCATAACTGGTATGCGACACTTACCAGTGGGATTGTAAAATGGCTGCACGATATCATAAATGGATTGAGTTTAGAAATGTAAACCATTGGATTCGTATTCAGTGGTCTTAAAGTTAAGCGCTCACTACAAGATCTAAAGATTTCGATTTCTTCTGGGGTGATGAATGTACACTATTGAGAGAAGTCTTGTACTATGACAAAGTAGCTGTCAAGTATTTTCTGGTTTTCATCAGTTGTCTAAGGCCAATCTGTGATACAAACTACAAAATCTGACATCCTTCACAAACTCCTCATACTAACAGCATGTCGGTTAACCCCATTACTACTGTATTTGCCATGGGAATGTTAGAATATAGAAATTTCCAGGTTTCAAACACCACTAACCAGAACTTTATCAAGTCATTCATATACAGTTGTATATATCTTATTGTATGTAGAATCGAAATGGACGAACGTATTCTATGAACTCAACGACCACACTGATAACTGAATACATTCATCCATATAGATTTTTCTAGAAAGTGATAATTAATTAATTAATTAATATTGTAGCTAATTTAAAATAATGGGATAATCACATAAATTCTCCACTTAATTGATACCATGTCATTAAAATCGATTGGGAGGAGTATTTTAAAGAGGATAGAATTTTAGTATCGTACATTTTTATAAAGTTTTTATTACTTTAATTCTCATATTTATTGGACATTATACTAGTAGTATAATTGAACTATACAGTTTCAATGTGTTTATTTTTGTATTCACAGCATGTAAACTATCCTTATGCTCGATTACGTGGTTTAGTTCATATACTGGCTAGTATCACTTTTTCAAACTTGAATAATAGTAGTAATAGTAATTTGAATACAGACGAGAGTATTTCAACAAATTCAGAAGGCAGTGATAATGATAAACAACCTGTCGATATTCAATCATCATCCATACTATCGTTTCATCAAGAAAGTAATGAATCATCAGAACAGAACATACCAATCACACAAGAGTATGCTAGTGAATTATTAAAAATCCTCTGCAATATTTTAGTGATTACACATTATGCAACTCATAAATTTGAGGAATTTTATGATTTACTTGATTCAATCAAAGATAATTTACCATTCAAGAATGATTTACTGAAAAATAAAGATTTTACTGTTTATCCATCAAAATTAGCGAAGAAAATGGTATGATTTTTTTTATTTCTCTTTCGTTATTCTGTTGTTGTGTTAATTATTTTAATTTGTACCTGTTTTCATAGGACTAGAGCGAACGGATAGCCTTGAGCGATTCCAAGATTGACCTTACAATTAAATAATCATATGTTAACCAGTTAGATTGTAATGATTGTAAACGAACCATTGAATATTACAAAATTAAGGACAAAATAGTTTTAGAACGTTAGGTTTAAGCTTTAACATCATAGCTCTAATACTATCTTTCTAACTCTAATGATCAGAATCCAGGTTGTGCAAACGACTAGTATTGCTTCAGCAATCTGTACTGGTGTTACTGTAAACCGTTTAGTTGTAGAAACCATGATTCGCTTCAATATTTTCGAAAGGTGCCACTCCTACTAGGCTACTGTAGAATAGATGGAATGTGGCTATCAGTAGAATCTAAGACGTGCGTTTCGTCGTGTTTGTAACTTGTCAGCTGGATGTACATGGGTCCCAGAGTTGGTTAATAACCTTGTTGAGTTCGACCCCTAATGAGGTCATAGATGCAAAACGCTGAGATACTCCGTACTAAGGTGATGTAGCTGTTTAGTGCTTTTCACTTGTAAGGCCCTGGCTTAGTCACTAGTTCACTTGGCTATCAACTCGTATGTTACGAGTTCGAACCCTGTCCCACCTACTTTGATTTACCATCCGGATAGTATTGTCAGCCTTCTAGCAACTGAAGTGCGGCTTGAAGCTGAGTACCTAAAATCTGCACTTATTACATGGATAAATTATCAATTTGTTTTTTTTTCTACAATGTTTTCCATCTTTTTTAAAATTTAGGTCCTACTCTCTACGAGATCACCCTTTTCATTAATTCAAGCTATTTGTTTTAAACAAGATGTGATTCGATGCATAGTTGGATTGATTACACAATTTCCTGAACTATCACTTACATTAGCCTTACACAAATTTGACGCAAATAATTATATGATAGGCGACGGTGATGATGTCAGCGAGAAAATCAGTTCAACAACACCTACACCATCATTTTTATCTGCCTTTGAAGTGATATTAGACGCTACAAATAGGGATCCATTCAATTCATTCTGTGTTGAATGGGCTATTCTACTGATCCGGTTAATAGTAAAATCAAATCAAGCACACAGTTCACAAGTGATATCCATTGTGTCTTCAAAATTGAAAGGATTAAATATATTAAGTGATGGAATATTGAACAATTGAATATGAGTAAAATGACGAATAGATACTTTTTGTTTTATTATTGTACATTGCGATTTATGTAGTTGTATATATGTATCACATAAAATAAATGAAGTTTAATGAGTGAAAGCATATTTTCTGGTTTTTTTTCGTGTTCAGCAATTGCCTAGATACTATGTAACCCATCAGTTACTAGTTTATCTATTCAACATTGAACTTTACTGTTTATGTGAGGGTCCATGAAATAATACTATGCTATCTAGACCTAGGTAGGTGTTGTAGAGTTTGAACTTGAGACTTGCTGGGCGAAAGTGAGATGTTCCCTAACTATAAAGCGATCATTACATTATGATGTTTATATCATAAGATTTAGTGATTTATACATTTTGTTTACTTGACAGTTATCAAATGGCTTTGTGATATTGGAAAATAAACACTGAGACTAATTATTTTAAGAGTACATCGACATTCTTTACTCAGTTTTTTATCCCTATCTGATATTAATTGAAGGATTGTTGAAACTCAATTATAACAGTTAATTTATTTTGTCCTTATATAAGAATCCTCAATAATTCGCATACACACACAGTCCAATTCAGTGAGTCAAACTGAGGACATTTAAATTTAGAATTGATAAACAGTATTGTTAAGGTACCTTAAATGGTTTTCATATCTGTAATTTAGTTTATGATACCGAACAATTTTTATCGAATATTATCATTCGTCACTTAATAGTTTCACTGTTGAAATATCTGTGACCATAAAACCGAGAGTTTTCCAAAATGAGAATGTAAGACAAGGAATATCAGACACTTTAAATTTACTAGAATGAGACTAGATTTCGTAAAATATCTTATAGACTGTCTTAAATCATCTAACTGATAATCTGTATAGTATAGTTTTTTGTTTTCAAGAAAGTCGGTTAAAAAGTATGAATCAATTGACAGTGTTGTGTGTGTGTCCATTCAATTAACTCATGAGAAAATATCTATTTCTTTTTGCTTGTAGTCACTGTGACTCATAAATACGATCGGTTCAGTAATGATAGACAAAACAAACCACTGTAGTCTCTCATAATAGCTTAGAAATCTCTTAAAGCTTTCATGAATTCCTGGTAGGTGTTTTGTGATAAGGCAATTTTTTTCAGGTGTATCAAATATTCCAGTTAGCGGCTGATATGTCTTATCGTTTTGAACGATACTTGTTATATCTGATCATCACTGATTGTTATGACGGAAACGCTTATCACTAATACTCGAAACGAGGCACCTCTGCAATTCTCACGACGTGAAAGTAAAAACACAAAGACTGGTATAAGTGAAGATTTATTAAGCCCCAAAATACGAAGACGACGCCAATTCTAGTAGAAAATACACTCATTTATATATTGATTGTACACCCATTTTTGGTTAATAATTAGGATGAAATCACATATATAATAAAATACTCCGTTATAACAAATCCCATGCTGAGCATAGTTTATGTCCGTTGAATACAAGAATATCGTATATTATACAGAATAAAATATCATAAGAGAGAAACAAAACCGAATGCTACACTGAATGATTATCACATTGAATCAGAATGGAAGTAATCTTGAATAAATCTAATTTTGATTTTTCTTCTCGTCATATCAGCATCTTATAGGATTACAAGAGTAATATAAAATTAGGAGAGTTCTCGGTATTCTTTTTTTTATTGATGGGAACATTGAAAGTATACGGTAATCTATACTTTTGAATTACCATTTTAAAGAGAGTTCTCATAGAACATAAGACGATGAAGTAGCCAAAGAACCTGACTTCTTAAAAAAAAAGTTTATAAATTTAAATAAGAAAAATAGCCATAAAACTAGTGTATCGTTAAAAATGGGTAGATTTTTGATGAGGATACATGATTTTGTAAAGTGTTATTTTTGAAATCTTACTTTATGTATATAGTAGACATTATGCATTTAACGGAAATGATACAATAATATATAATGATTGTTTGTACTTTTACAGAACAAGAAGAAAACATACTCCATATAATCATTACAATATGCACTATAGACAATATTATACATTCATTTCGAAAATAATCTTCAATCGTAATCAAAATGTATTCCTTTGTCAAACCATTAGTAATAATAATAATCGATTTTGCAGTTCATTGACTTCTTCTATACAAGTAAATCATCCTTTGTCGACAATTTCATCAAAGGAAGAATTATTTCCAACATGGATTACTAGTAAATATCTACCAAATGATTGGTTACAAAAAGAATTTTCCGATCCATTTGTATTAAATAATTTCAAAAGTCTGGTTGTATTATGTCAATATGAATCAAAACTAGGTCGTTGGCGTACAATGAAATCATTATGTTCTAAAGATGATGTTGAAATAGTTGATTCAGAATCATTATTGGATAGTTTATTCTTAAATGTCTATCAAAAAGAATTAAATATCAACGCTAGAACTGGTATTCAAATGATACACAATGTATGTAAATATAAGTTCAGTGAACAAAGTAAGTGAAATATTCTTATTGATATTATTACAGTTATTCAACTAATTCCTTGTGTTTTTCTTTTTCTGTGTTATCTGTTCGTTCTTCATTCGATTCTATCTGGCACTTTGATATTGTAGTCGGATTTTCCTAACGTGATAACTCAATCAATCTGCATTAGTTGGATTATTTGTCTCCTGAGGCTATACCATTCCAGGCAGGTCAGTCGAATAATGATAAGAGTAAGACCAAAAGTAGAAAATCTAAAGTCATAGGGAAAGATAGTACTATCGAATGTGTCGGATTGTGGTTTCACTAAGGTGTTTCCACTGGATAATCAGCATCTACATTAATTTTACTTATACACAAAGGAAGGTTAAGTTAGAAAAAATCGATCCTATAAGTAGTATACCTCACCTTCCCCCACTTATAAGTGGTACTGTTGGTGATGAGTTAAAAGTCCACAGCTAATATATCAAAAGTACTCAAAAAAGTTTATGGATATTTAAACTCAAGGAACTTTCCTGTGGACTGTACATTCTCACTCTCTGGACGTTGTTTCCTTTTCAGTGATCTCAAGAAATTATCCTTGTACGGTATAGGCAACTGGGAAGAGATAGCCACCAACATAAATATCTCTTTGACTGACTCACTTTGTTTCTCTCACTTCAGCCTCGCTTTTCTCCACTCTATTATTCTCTTTCGTCTTCGTCTTTTCTGTATTTCTTTCTGTTTCTCAGCTATCTTCTATGTATTTTTCAGTGACGCTTATTCTTGCATCTCGTTTCCTTTCTCCTGATTTGTTTTTCCACGAATCACTTCCCTTCATTTATTTTTTCTTTATCGACACAGCTTCTTCCAGTTTAATAGTTTTAATTCACTACAATTAATTAGACTCATTAGGTTTATTCTTCTGTATAACTTCGCTTTCGATTAATGTATTGATATTTGGTTGTTAGTTTACGGATTAGATACTGTGGCAGCTATTATTTACTTGTTTTTGTATTTGATATGGTGAGAAACAATGAAACTTTCTTTATTGTAACATAGATTTGTGCACCTATTCATAATACCATAGTTGTATGTTAGATAGTTTAAGGTAGTCAAGAGAAAACTTATGTAACAAAACGATAACATTCGAAACTATCTTATTAATTATTTTTATATGGATTCTTACTATTTAATTACTGAATAACTAATGTGTTTCCTAATCTGGTGAAATGCAGTCCGGTATTTCTGTTTATAAATTGATACGTACATTGAACAATAATGAAAAGAAGAATATAAGTTTGTCTGCTGTCTTCTAGACTCTTGACGGGCGATCAGTCGAATATTACTACAGAGTGTCAATGATTAGTAAACCTTAAATGGAATACAACGATGGTGGAGACTAATGGTCCATCATCATCAAAATATACTGTTTATGCTGTTTAGATAGTCTAGAGACAAAATATTATGATGAGTAACAAATATTCATCGAAATTTTTCAAACCTTCGATGAAATTCTGGTACTGTAGTGCGATTGATTTCTCACGAATTTACGAGCTCATGGATGCACCGCATACAAAAAAGTTAGCCACAAAAGAACTGTCTGTCGAGTTAAGGTAAGATTGAAATCACGATCTATGAAGCTTCTTGATTAAAATTAAAAAAATATATATAAACAGAATATATGCTACACTCGCATGAAGTACAGCTGACAAAAGAAGGTATATGGATTTATCTGTAAACGGTTTATATATTCTATCACCATTGGATGTTGCGCCAAATATCACATTAATCTCTGAAAGGACATGTATTTTATTAGTTCACAAGGATTACAAACTAAACACACCCAGGAATACACACAGGGACGTACTGAAGCTCTTTGGAATAATGAGATGTTCCGTTCACTTTCGATATGATCATCTTCCGGGAGGTACATCACAAAATCATTCATATCCACTACATCTACCTTAATGGTTTGTTTATTATGCTAAACGCCTAACTTTATTTCCTCAAACTTGATTTGTCTGAAGCCTACTCGCAAATGGAGGTCAACATTTATTCGAATGAGTTTCTAGCTATTGATACTTATGGTGGATGCTATCAAATATAAGCGCTTGCCATTCAGCTTACAGTCAGCACCTGAAATGTTCTAGTAGATAAATGGATACTATGATATCTAATGTGGAAATGATAGAAATTTGACTGGATGACATTGCTGTTTGTCCAACTGCTAAGGGCACCAGATACATATGCGCCACACAATAACAATAAGAATGGGAAGAGATAAAGGATGTAAAGGTGCGTGAAAAAACAAACAAACAATAACGACCACAAATTTGTATATGGTAGTGAAATAACAATAATAATGAGAGAAACAGAAAGGTACAGCCAGAAGAAATCTTTCAGTTAAGGAAGTTACAACCACTTTTTATGAAGAAAGTAAAAGAAGGTTACAGCAGGATCGCCACTGGCTTCTATTCTGAGCCATATATGATAACGTCTCTAGCTACTGTGTAGCACCATCTCTCGGACCCCAGCTAGGGAGTCGAGAAGGACCAACAGAAGCCATCTCCTTGTAGCTTTCTTTCGTTTCACGACATCATGTCATACACTGACCACCTCTGCGCTTTTCCCAACCAGTCCGAGTGTCGGCAAATAATGCACGGCGTAGAATACTTTGGGACAACATTCGGAGAACATGTCCAATTCACCGAAGTCGATGTTTCAAGATGGTGGCACCAATTGGATTATCGTCTCTGTGCCCGAACACACGATGCCGAACCCCTGCATTACTGTGATGGTGTTGCCACTGGATGTCAGCAATCCTTCAGAGACGATGATGATCAAACACAGAGAGTCGTCTAACATCCTGAACTCGGAGAGGCCAGGTTTCACAAACATAGAGCAGAACTGCTCTTACCGGCCCGTTGTAGATATGACCTTTTACATCCAGACTGACATCACGAAGGCGCCGAAGATGGCCCAAATCGGCATAAGCCGCTCTGGCTTTCACTATATGTGTATTGATTTCATCATTCATGCCACTACCAACACTTATGCAGCTACCTGGATACACGAACTTTTCGACTACTTCTATCTACTCACTACCCAGGGTGAGTACAGGATCAGGGTCCTACCAGTCTTGTATAAATACTTTGCACTTAGAAGGTGCGATTTATTTATTTATTTATTTAAACACATAAACATTGGTACAAGGAGGTACCAAATAGATATGCGCCACATAAATCATTCGATTTGTGTGTGTGGGCTGGAATGCTGCCCGGGTGCCCAGACCGAAGCAGGATGTTTCCGTAGGTGGCCACAGCCCGAGCCTTGGACCTAAAGGTCTGGCCCACAAGGCAGTGGAGAATCCTGAGGAGATGCAGTCCCATGGTAGCCGGTGGCCAACGATTGGTTCATACACCATTTGTTCCTTTAGGATACTGGAGTCCATGTGCATCATTGATTTGGAATCCGGTTAAAGCGCCCTCTCAGTTTCGTAAACAACACGCCCGCCACGAGAATGCAGTGAGTAGGACTTCTCTGTCAGAGGCTGTATACACGTGGCCGTGTGAGAGCATTTCAAGAGGGAGGGCGGGCTCATCCCACTCTCGGCCATACCAGGGCATTTGGGGGCAGATACGAACCCGGGACCACTCGCACCCGAAGCGAGAATCACACCCCTAGGCACATGCCACACCTACGGACACTAATTGCCAACTGATTAAGTGCGGATTGCGCGGCTTGGGTATTATCGCATAGTAAGACAATATCATCCGCATACTCAAGGTTGAGAAGTCTTTCTCCAGTCAACAGATTTACACCGCCATTACTTACATCCATCAGAGCTGTTTCCGGGATGTCATCGATGACAAAGTTGAAAAGGAATGGTGAGATTGGGCAACCCTGTCTAACCCCACTGCTTGAGTGGAACAGTGGAGAGAGGTGGTTGTATGCCCTCATTCTGCCTGAGGTGTTTGTATATAGGGCCTTTAGGATGTTAATAGACTTCTCAGGCACACCCTTCTTTAATAGACAATCCCAGAGATCAGTCCTGTCCAACGAATCGAAGGTAGCCCTGATGTCAAGAAACACTATGATTGTTGACATATAATAAGGATGACGGTGTTTTAACATTTTGCGAAGGGTTAAGGTATGATCAATACATCCTCGACCAGAACGAAACCCAGCCTGCTCCTCGTGAGTCAATCTTTCTCGAGTTGTGAACAACCTCCGAAGTATGACGGAAGCCAATAGTGTAGACGCAATTGGAAGTAGACTTATCCCCCGGTAGTTGTTACAGAAACGGTGTCAGTAAATTGATTGCAGCTTCTGTTGCAACTAAGTATCAAACGTAGCTAGGTTCCAGGCTAGCTACCATCCCACAAAAAAGTGTAGATGAGCATTGGTTGCATTTGCATGACACCATGAAAATGGCGAGTAAAGTCGCTTGCGGCTTCGTCAAATGTAGTCGAGTATAGATAAAATATTATTTATTTATTTATTTTCCCTCTACCACTATACTTTTTTTCACACTTTAGATGTATCTTTACAATATAACCAACATTTTGATCCACTACATATTCGTTTAGACATACTTAATTGTGATATAATTCTTAGTAAACTGTACGATCCATTATATAATATTGGAGTGAAACATGTAAATAAGCTTATTGAACGGTGTCCAGATCTTCCATTATCTACTATGATTTGTCCCACCGATATGCCAGATTCAAATTACAACGAAAGTAACAACAAGTCGTCATTATTTCAAAAAACTATATTACAACAATCATTGGAAGTACTAAATCATTATCTTATACATAACGATGTTGTAAATGTTATTCAGCGTTTTCCAAGTAAGAATTTTAATAAACGATGTTTTTCTTAATGTATTTGGTATGCGGCTATCATAGTGATCCTGTATGCCCATTTCATATTAGTTAAGACTCTCTATATGGACGTATTTCTCACATTCCAGTGTTGCCGTTCATACCCGGACTCGAAACCCTTTAATCAGAAGTTACTTTTCATGCTAAAGTGACATCCAGTGTTGAACTGTTGAAAGTCCCTTTAGACTGAAACATCTCACCAATACGCGCCTATTATCCTCAACAAATAAATAAAGTTCCAATTCCCATTTAGACTTGTCTCGATACCTAACCCATATAAACAATATTAATAATCAGCAAAGATGGATAGTGACTAGCAGTTGAACCCAGAGTCGCGTCTCGTCCTATTCGGAACTCGTCAGCTGAATGCACCTGCACCTCAGAGTCTGTGTTCATCTCGGGGCTCGAACTCAGCACTATTCATCAACTCTGAGATACAGACACGTCCAGCTGACGAGTCCTAAATAAGACGAAACGCGTGTCCTGGATTCCATTGATAGCCACCATCCGTCCAAGCTCATAATGCTTGTGACTTGAGATAATATAATATCGAGGCAATCCGCACAGGTTGCACATAAGATACTGATCAATTGCAGTCCTGCGCATCAATGGGAAGATTCAAACACGCAATACAAAATGAATATTAATGATGATAATAATCCATTATCTCAAATCATTTTTGAAATTTGTTAGTATATGTATAGTATTTTTAGTTACGACTATTGTAGTGAACAAAGACTTGGTTAAAGTAAAACAGTTTACTGTATTATGCAAAATCACCCATTAAATTTGTAAAATATGAAAACAATGCATAGATGCACTATTTGCACATTTTCCTTGAGTTGTCCCTTACAACTCTATCGTTCTTTCATTTCTGCTGTTATTTTGATTGTTTTCTGTTTTTCTTACTCTTCTCTTCATTTTCCTCTTCTGTTCGTAAGAATTCTACTTTCAATTCTTTATACGTACTACTTATATCTATTCGTACAAGTAGCACACACCACACTACAAATGATTTGTACCAAAGATTCCAATAACAGACTGATCAATTGCAGTCTTAAACCTCAATGGGAAGATACAAGCAAAACAATATCAAGTGATTTCTATCAGAGTCTTAAATTGTTAACAATGTTTTTTTTCTTATCATGTATAAATACATAATTTTTGTTGTTTAAATATTTCGTAGCTACTGATTAGTCGAATTATTATTTAGCATAATAACTATGAGTGAATTTTCCTAATTGACTGTGAATCAAACTTACCACACAAAGATGAATTTACGACTGTCTATTGAAATGGAAATAGTTTGAATACATATGTATATAAGCCTCACATCAATTGATCATTGTCCATAGCACTATTAAACTGTGTTATTTGTTTTTTTTTATTACCAAAAAAAGTGAATACTGTTGAGTTTCCAGTTTTCCAATACTATAGAATTCATTGAAGAATTGACGGCTTTCCATATTCTAGTTTTATTTCATTCAATCGTTTCAAAAAGTCACCCATAATTAACACAGTACTGTTTCGTCTCATGACGTTCGACTCAGGTATACACTCTTCCTTTACGTTCACCCGACTCATTATACACGTGAGACGAATAAAGAATAACTAGGAATTTGTAGTTGGTGAAATTGGATAATTAGATACACAAATTATTGGTTCGTATGAATTCGTCTTAACCATCGTAACAAGGAAACGTAAGCTATAACCTTTACTAGAAATATGATAGGTTTTCTTCGATAGTGTTTAATTTATACTTTTTTAAGTACGGGTTGATGCTGAGATAGTATATGAGTACAGGAAAGTGATATATTTGGGATCTCTCGGTCTTTAAAGGTTTGACTATAAGTATACATCTCCACACCTCATATAAACACAACTAGAGGAAGTTAACAAGATGGGCATCCACATAGTTGGAATAAAGTGGTAGTAGCAGTGGTAATATAAAGAACATGTAAGCCTAGAGTATATATGACTCAAAAGTAATAAAGAATGAAATTACAGCGTAAAAGTTATTTGAAATTGCATTGAAATTCAAGATTTAAATTTAGCTTTGTAATTGAAGGCATGTGCTTCAGTAAACTTTATGTAGTATAACTATACTATTTATGAGTAGTTACATTCTATCGTATAGTTTTTTGCATCCAATTGTTCAACGGTGAACCAACCATTTTCTTATTGTTTGTAATAAATGTTCCAAGATAGTATTTTCTCTTTAATCGACGTTGCGTATGGTACTTTAGTGTATTTGACACCCAGTATTATCGATTTTACCCTTTTCTACTCAGCATTTTCAATTATTAATACGAATTATCACGTATACATTAAAATCCGTTATCCTTTTTTATCATCATCTCACATTCTACTTGTTTTCTTCGCTTAACCATAAGGTGTCTTACTTCGTGGAAGATTGGAACTAGTTGATATCTGTGAATTTTGTATTAATGATATGGGTTTAGAATCATATGATTATGTAAATGCATCGTCTTCACCAACACATAAACATTCATTACGGCATTCTACTGGTCTATGTATAAGTAAATGTCCGATTTGGGAGTTATCATTAGATCATGTCCGTGCACGATATATATTTTTACGTTTAGTCGGTTACTGGCCATTAGCAAGAAGGACACTTGAAAAAAATAGTAAGTTGAGAAGGGAATATTTTATTTTCTTGAAAAATGTAATTTTCTCTACTTTTTCATATATGAAGATTTAGCTTGTTTGATAATTGGAGGTAGTTGGACAGATTAACTAATGTTCGAACGCCACAGGAAGCATAAGTCCTGTTGAGATTGACGATGAAATGTTGCACCTACCACAAAACGTAGGCCAAGTTATGTTTCTCACAAATTTTCTTCAACCACCTTACATCTCAACTTAGTTGATTCGATGTCAAGTCACTTAGATCATTTTGAAGATTATAATTTGATCGACAGAATTCATTCAGCTTTAAAAGCTATAAAATCATGAAAATGTTCACTATTCGTTAACAACTAAGTTTTATATATGAGAAATGTTCAAAAAATGAAAATTTTAGCTTATTCCAATTAATCCTATTATAATTATTATTACTATTGCTATCATGGGACTTAGTGAAATTTCAATATTAATCTGAATACCATTTTCATATTGAAGATAACGTATGTCTAAAGATTACCAAAATTATTAACTTCACCGTTAACTATATAAATTCTTTCATTTCTCAATGTATACTGATGATAGGTGAGCGTAACGGTCGATTAATCTCTGTAGTACTATTCAAATTTAAATAAGTGTATTAATACGATAAGTTTTTAAAATTTGTTCACTCTGACATCAGATAGATAACTATTGAAAGTCAGAAAGCATTAAAAGTGTTTACGTCTTAATTCGAGATTCTTTCGCAATAAATACGTTCATTATTCCACTAGATATCTATGCCGAGAGGTTTAATGTCTTGCAGATAAAATGTAGTACTTACACAAACAAAGATGCTATTATCGTACTATTGAAGCACTGAATGTTTTCCTGTACCACCACAATGTGCTTATAATAATCTGTTACTGAATAATAATCTGTGTCGTGATTTCTTATTCTTATTTTTTATCGATTTCCAACGATCGAGTTTTCAATGTATCATCATATTGTTAATGAACATTCACTCACATCTTGTTTAATCATAGATTTTTGTAGTTTTGCATTACAATCTGACTGAATTTAGTTAGATAACCACTGTAAACTAAAAGTCACTATAAAGGTGTTTCATCTTAATATGGGACTCCCCAGCAGTGTCCATCACTGCTTCACTTCCGGTAGTGATCTCTTAACCTTTAGACCACTGAGTTGACTTCCAACAGTTTAAACTTTTCAGTCGATTTGTGATATTTTGGAACTCTGATATTGACCTCCTTACACTGATCTCTAGTGAGCATATATAGATACTCACCACTGAAAAGTCCCTTATCATGCTGAAATGGCTGTCCAATTGTTTCTAGTTTACAGTGGTTATCTAACTAAGATCGATTCGAAATCCAAACTATTACATATATTTTTTTTGTTACAGTTGATATTGATAAACAATTGGCAGATTTACTGAAATCAACTCCAGGACAATTTACTCAATGGTTAAATAATAATCTGTTGAATTGTTCTTCATCTAAATCGAAAACAAATGATAAAAAAGTTGAAAAATACAGTGTACCTAATAATATTCTATTCACTAAATCAGATATACAGTTTTATGAAGAAATCTATTCACATTTAATAACAAATAGTGATAGCATTGATGATAGTGTTGATGTTAATGATGATAATGATGATAAAACTTTGGAGATGGTATCAAATTGTGATACATCAGAACTATAATTGATTGATTGCTCTCCAGTTCAGTTTATTTATTCGTGATATATATATATATATACCACCCAGTTGTATTGATATTTGATACTGATATAATGTGTGTGTATAGGACTATCCCTTTCTCTAAATATTCATCATCTATTTATACGTTTATTTTCTTCATTTTTAATAACTGTTTGAAACAAACTCTTTATTGAAACCAGTACAGTCTTTTGATCAAGGAGCCATATCACCACTAGACATCGTGGAAGATGTTCATTAGAAGACACCCATTTATTCTAAAGCGCATATTGAGATCATGATCTAAATATTAAACACACCCCTTCATCTCTTTCGAGGTTCCTAACCCAATAAGTAATGGAGCCATGTTCATCGTAAACTTAATGATCGTAAATAGTGTTAGGTAGTCAAAATGAATATAATGTAAAAGATACTGGTGATGTTGTCATTGTGTCTATTACTCTGATATTTGTCTGGATAATTTTATCTCCCTGTACGGATATGATGTAACAACTGATGCACATATTTACTACGTTCAACATTATATTTATGACTGACTAATTTAATATAATGTCAAACGTAAAAATGGACACTTATTGTTGTTTTATTGCCTACACTAATAACAATAAATCTACAATCTTCATTAATCGATCAATCGACACTACGGTAATTTCTATCTTTTCCAAACCTCTAGTCATAACATTAGCAAATCAGGTCAGTGGTCACAATTATTTTAATATTGTTTCTCATTTAAAACTCAATGAATTAATACACTTGAATTATTATATCATAATGTAGTGTAAAATGATAAATCTCCGTAAATATGTAATTAGGATAACTCGAATATCATACTTAATCAGATTAGTAGTTGATTGACTGAAATGGATGAACAAGATACAGGGTATAAAAATTGGAAAAAAAAGATTCTAAGGATCACTTACGATAAGTACTATATAAGTAATATCATTAATTCACAGTTCGATTGAAATACTCATCAAAAAATGTATAAATTAATTCACTATATAACAATGAATTGAGTTTTATAATTTCTATGTTTTCTCTCACTTCATCTGAATAATTCGTTCTATCATTGTCTACAAAAAATTCTACTAGATATATGTTATGAAATATGTGTATATGTTTAGACAAATGTTTTGTTCTAGTTGTTCTCAAGCCACTCCAGTGAGGTGCACACCGAAACGTAGATACATAAGATAGATTTCAATGGTTTCAGATCCTGTGTTGATTGTAATACTGTTATAACTTGTGACCGCCAATTAGAGAGCAGTGACTTATCGATCGGAACAATGACACGTAAGCCCCTATGAACAGCCTAGAATTCTGATCGGTCCTGCTTTCCGCCTAGCCCAGCCAGTTAAGTCCAGAACACCAACCCGAGCCTCTGCGATATGAATCATTATATTTCAAACATACTGAGTTTATATACCAATCAAACAGACCACAACGTACTAATAAAGTATGAAACAACACTTGTACAAGAATTAGCCAGATGTGGCTGTGAATGAGGGAGGTAGTAATTAATATACTGGGTATAACTCAAGAATGGTAAAACGTATAATAATAGATTATGGGTCGAAATAAAGCTTATAATAACAGGAATATGAATATGCATAGTTTAGTTACTTAATAATTATACAATAGAAATATACGTTTAGTATTGGTCGATCAATAGATCCCAAAAGTTACCATTCATTATTCTTGTCGGGACATAACAAATACTTTTCTATTTATCAAGGATAAATCAATACTCTACGTGTTTTACATCAGTCAGTCTATTTTCTGTTTGTTTTCTACACTGAGTTGTGATGGGATAATAATAATAATCTATTGCTCAGTACCACATATTTGGTTACAATAAGTCTGTGCATTACAAAATCTCCGTTGTATCACCACCCGATTTCCCAAGAAACCAAAAAATATGTATAAAGTTTTTAAACAGTGATTGGCTACCATCCATATTTATTCATAAATGTTTATATACAATCATATACCCATGACATCTCTTTTCGTCTCCAAATATGTTTTTTCTATCGGTTTTGCAGTAATCGGATATATTTTCTCCAAATGATAATGTAGAAGATTAATTATACTGACCAACGTGGTGATATGTCTTGAGTTTCATAGTACCTCTGTTCGTCAGAGGTTTTGACCATTTTATGAAAGTGCTCAAATTAATACGATTATCAGATACAATTAGTGGATTATAATAAATTGAAAACAAGGAATTTTGTCACTAGAAATACGCGTCCTGGATTCTACTGCTAGCCACCATCTATCTTTTAAATATATATCTAAATCATTACAACAGTGGTTATCCATTTTCAACTGTGAAAAAGTTTTCGATCACTTCCACACGGAATAATCTATGTATTTAATACATAAATTTCAGTGTATTTTCTCGTTTCTCCAAAGAATAGCCTAGAAAGAACATTTTACAGCCACTAAACTGTTTCTGCTTATATCTTTGAGTATTCAACATCATGATAAGCAATGAATCTTTTACAAAACCATATATATATATTTCCCAATTTTCATACAGATTTACCTCGCTAAAACCAATTTAATGCTACAAAATGTATTAACAGTATTTGCATAGTTACAGATATGTTATCTAGGGATTTAAGCATTGCACCCAATTAAAATCTTATACAAAGAATATGAGAACAAACCGATCTGTACTCAAATAAATAATTTTTATATGAAGGATCCTTAAATTACATGATAGGAAAACTAATTATAAGACTTGGGAAATTCGGAATACATGTCACATTCAAGTTTCATATCTGTAAAAGATTCTTGATTTTCATTAAAAATGTACTCGTTGACCTGTAGTGAGTAGTACAAATATTTTAAAATTATTTCTAACGGTTTCATAGAGAGGGTACACTTAAGAAGGTTGGTTAATTTTATTTCAAATCAGTGATGTACATGGGCTGTAGAATCTCTTGGGAATGAATAGTATATGACTCTTGTCTTTAATCGTGGATTGCTATTTGATGTTGTTCTACTGTTTCGTGGATTAAACCTTTAGGTCCAATGATTGGGAATCGGCTGTTCAGAGAAACCACCTGCTTATGTTTGGGCACTCCTGCAGTATCTCAGCAATGCGTACCACTTTTGATGCCTAGTTGTACCAGATTTTAGGCTAGTCAAATAAATCAATAAAAAAGACTGTTGACAATACTACTTCTCTCTTGGAACTTCAACCTGCTTCTTTTGTGCTATAGTTATATGAGGAGCATCAGATCTGTCATTACTGTCAATAAGTGCTTGAAATAGCACAAAACCTGAGTTAGATGAGGTCTCCTAACGACAACTTCTAAACAACTTACTTTTCACTATACGCTTTATATTGGATACCTGTTATTTACAATTAATTAGTACTTAGTATACATTTAATCAAGATAAAAAATCCGACAGTCAAAAAGATTCCACTACTACTAAAATGCTTTTTTGTTTTAAAATGGAAACATTGGATAGTGATGTGGTTCAGCGAAAACTGATTAGGTTCAACTTTCTATTAAGTATAATAACAATAATAATCAGTATCTGTCATTCATATTCAACGGTTCGAGTTATCTATCACTTCGTTTACTATTCATATTTTGAATATATAGATCCTGATGTAATCATACTTTCTTATCTAAAAAAGCAAATCGATAAGTAGGAAAGCACATCAATAACTACAGTGTTTCTGTTTGTATTTTCCACCATTTAGAATTCCAATAGTGTTGTAATCTTTTTATAACGATACGTAAGTATATGTTGTTCACATTTATATTCATTCATTTGAAATAAATCTAAAACTCGAATATTTATTTCAGTATTTAGATAGTTTGAAAATAGGCATTGTAAACATTGAAATGGATACCTAGTATGTTAGCAATTAAAAGTGAGATTTTAGATTAACTATCAGTGGTCTTGAATGCTGTTAGAGGTATGAGGGCGGTTATCACTTTCCGGTTGCCCACACCGTGGAACGGTTCTTCTGGAGGTACCTGAAAAGGAAATTGGATTAGAAGTGGTCTTAGTGATCTGAGAGCGTGACCGCAGTGCCAAAGGTACAGCTGCTTGAGGTCGGTCACAAATGACCTTTATATGAGTAATTTTTGTGTTTGCTGCGTACTTGTTGAGACCTTACCGCCGGAGACGGATTTCCGTGGGATAAGGCGAGGTGTGTATTTTTAGGGTCGACCTTTTCTAACCCCACCCCTCCTCGTGGAAAGGCAGGATCGCTGTCATGCTGGTTGCCTGAAGGAAATACCTTGCTGCCGTCACACCTCTGTACAGTCAGCAGTACGACTTCGCCTTCGAACCTTGAGTTTATCGCTTATAGTCTTACCGCTCTTCAACCGACCTGTCTGACATGGTAGGACCTTGAGGAACGGTTGTTCCAGCCGGTATAGCTTGGTTGCTTCATCATGATAGGCAAGCCCGACAACCACGTCAAGGTAGCAACAACGGTCGGGAAGATTCTATCTATCTATAATGCTCGTTCAATATTTAGTAGTATTATGAGAATTTCAATGATCAACTTACTCAGTATGATATTTTCTTTGGTATAATATTCATTTAACCTATAATTACCAACTTAATAATTACTGGAAATTTATAGAAAAAGTAATTGGACTGGCCTCTACCTGAATTTCAATAGTTTTTGTCAAATTAGTTACAAGACGGCGTTGGTTAAAACACTATTTTACAGGGCAGAAAAGATATGTACCACCGACAAACTGGAAGAAGAATTAATGAACGTAGAAAAATGTCTGAAAGAAAACTTTTATCCACAAAAGTTTATTAACGAATATAAAAGGCCCAAGGAGAAGAAGACGGTAATAACTATGGTCAATAAAAAGCCAGTGTATATAAATTTTAACTTTAAAGGTGATGACGTCGCACAAATTATCAACAAGAGACTGAATACAACGCTAGCCAGAACTTATCCGGCTGCTAAACTTTTAATTCTCTATAAAACAACATGTTCA